TGCACTTTTGTTAATAATTAGATAGGAGCCACGGAGGTAATTCACTTAGTGGAAATCTTGTACAGCTGAGCCGCTCTTGTTGCAAACTTGCAGTCTAATAGGTAGATGTTTTCCACTCTAGGCCATGTTGTTGAGTAGAGACTATTTTAGACTCTTCTTGAAGTTCATTTTGAGTTATATTAAGAAAAATGGAGGTGGAAAATAATGTTTATTGTATTTAACTTTAAATATTTATTTGAACAGAACACTGGCACAAAATAATGTTGGTGGTGGTCATGAACTTGTGGCTGTATATTAGGTTCTGGTTAGAGATCTTCTGAGTTCTGTCTGTGCGGTGTGCACCCTCCCAACCATTGATGATTGTGAAGCTGTGGGAGACAGTAATCCAATTTTAGTTATATATTAAATACAGTTATTGGTTACAGTTATAAGTTTTAGTTATACTTAAAAGGTTTAGTTACATTTATAAGGTTTTGTTACAGTTAGAAGGTTTAGTTATAAGTTTGTTCTAGTTATAAGTTCATTATAGTTATAAGCTTGTTATAGTTAGAGGTTATAGGTTATACAAGTTATAATGCAGACAATAGGTTCTTTTTTTTTTTTGGATTAACTGGACAGCAGCATGCGCCCCTTGATCATGGGCCCAGAACTAAGATATTCACATAGCTCACTTGTCAAGTTCATGACAATAGGGCTCACCAATCCCAGGGTAGGTCCTGTATGCAAGTAGGGCAACAGACATCAGGTAAGAGCAACAGATGTTAGGCAAGGTCAACAGACATCAGGCACAGAGGACAGACCTCAGGTATTTTTGACAGACATCAGGCAAAAGTAACAGATATCAGGCAAGAGCAACAGATATCAGGCAAGAGCAACAGACATCAGGTAAAATCAACAGATATCAGGCAAGAGCAACAGATATCAGGCAAGAGCAACAGATATCAGGCAAGAACAACAGATGTCAGGCAAGAGCAACAGATATCAGGCAAGAGCAACAGATGTCAGGCAAGAGCAACAAATGTCAGGCAAGAGCAACAGACGTCAGGCAAGAGCAACAGATGTCAGGCAAGAGCAACAGATATCGGGCAAGAGCAGCAGATGTCAGGCAAGAGCAGCTGACGTCAGGCAAGAGCAACAGACGTCAGGCAAGAGCAACAGACGTCAGGCAAGAGCAACAGATCATCAGGCAAGGGTGACAGACATCAGGCAAGGGTGACAGACATCAGGCAAGGGTGACAGACATTAGGCAAGGGTGACAGACACTAGACAAGGGTGACAGACATCAGGTAAAGGTGACAGACATCAGACAAGGGTGACAGATATCAGGCAAGGATGACGGACATCAGGCAAGGATGACGGACATCAGGCAAGGATGACGGACATCAGGCAAGGGTGACGGACATCAGGCAAGGGTGACGGACATCAGGCAAGGGTGACGGACATCAGGCAAGAGTGACAGACATCAGGCAAGGGTGACGGACATCAGGCCAGGGTGACGGACATCAGACAAGGGTGACAGACATCAGGCAAAAGTGACAGACAGCAAGCATGGGTGACAGACCTCAGGCAAGGGTGACAGACCTCAGGTAAGGGTGACAGACCTCAGGTAAGGGTGACAGACCTCAGGCAAAGGTGACAGACATCAGACAAAAGTGGCAGACAGCTAGCAATGGTGACAGACCTCAGGCAAAGGTGACAGACATTAGACAAGGGAAGCTGTTGATAACTTGGTGCAGCTCAAAACAAACAGTTGAATTTAATCAGAGCATTGGCACAAAATGATTGCAAATGGTGCTGCTATCTGCAAATTACTGCATATCCATATCAATATCTGCAACAACTATATATGCATTGACAAAAACTTGTGCGGGCTCAACGGGGCATGGAAAAGTTGATGTGCTTTTCTCCCGTTTATTTCATATACTTGAGTGACGTAAGATGAAAATAAGATTTAATATTAATTAATAGGTCAATAAAGACTTACATGAAACTTACACTAGGTAGAGGCTAGACTCATTTTTTAGACTTAAGTGCTAAACATTGTAGATGAGCGTTCTTAATTGACTTCTTGATAACAAAATTACAACTGGCATGACAGGAATTGTTTATGTTGGCATGGCCGCGATATTTCATTTGTTACTCACAGGAGGTGGTTTGGCAGGCAAGAAGAAGAGACTATTGCTGGCGTTTTCTCGCTTATGCTAGCATTTGCCAATGCTGGGTTGGGCTGTAAAATTGATTACTAAGTATGACAGTGCCAATGCTAGTTTGGGCTTTGTTTATGATTAGTGCCAACGGCTGCGGTTGGGCTTGGCCTACAATTATGATACCTGAAATCATGAGGTTGGAGGTTAAGTTTAGATGACAATATCTTAAAGTTACCTAAAATGTTTCAAATTAAAATAGATGTAATGAATCACATGTTGGCACTTGCCAGTAAGGCTTGATGAGGCTGTAAGCAGAGAACAAATTAGTATCCTTAAAACTTTCTATTAGATTGTGTCAAAGAAAACAGACAGGGCAAATAGCCACAACAGCAATGGTGAGGCAAATGGCCTACAAAATATCAAGTCAGTACATCCAGTTATGCGACAAATATTTCCTTTTCAAAATAATTACTCCTAGACAAATTCATACTAAAAAATAGATATCAACTATGATATAAGAGCCTATGAGCAGTTGTTCGTGACGATGGCCACCAACAATGTCTAGACTCAGCATTACTTACAGTAACGACTATAATATTTACTCAATGACATGAACATGGAATCACAAATTCTGGAATCATACACATTAATGAACAATAGAGAAATATATAGATATATAAGCCTAATGAGCTATAGCAACATATTAAAGGTAACTCCGGGAGGGCTCGCAGTGCAACACACTACTCACTCGAGCTCTGGACGCGCACTGGTGAGGCAGTGACGCACTGACGCTGCTAGGAACGCGGGAACCGCTTGAGGGCTTGCTGCGTTCATATGGTGGTAATTTTGTTGATCTTTGCAATATTTTCCATGCACTTGTGGAGTGAACACCGGGATGAGTGAGGATTTGAAGAAAGAGTAGATGCAGATGGGAAAACTTAGCACGTTGAATCTGATGAGTGACAAACAACATCACATGCATAGTTATCATAGATTGGTATTTACAGCTAAATATAGTTCTATATCCACTTAGACTAAAATTCTAGATCTATGTTTAAAGACTGGAACTGTGAACAGTTGCACCTTTATTTCCAACATGAGTGAGACAGTTTAGGCAGCTGCAAAAAAATTACTAATCAGCCACATATGGTCATGTCAGACCAGAAATATTACCATCGTTCAAGACGCCTATAAGTAGACCAGTTAAGTATCATAGATACCAGCATTGTCATACATAAGAAATTGTTTATATCTTGAGTAGAAGAGGAAATTACAAATGAACTGATTCCAAAATCTCCGTGGTTTGTCACTATGCTCTAGGCAGTCAGCAGATACTGCACTTACTTACTGTGACCCAGTGTGCAGACTGTGATCAATGCATTGCCAAGATGTGTTTTTTAAGTCTAAGACATTGCCAGCAGTATTCAGAATGCATCGCCAGCAGTCTTCAGCTATCATTAGTGCAATGCTGCCACTGTGTGTCCCGTCTGTTTTGATTGCTTGTAGTCATCACTGTAACAATCCTAATGTGCTTACGTCTGTGCCAATTATTATGCATTGGTCAGAAATTTTGGGAGAGTTTGGAGATCAATATTTGTAAGGTAAATGTATTGGAAAGATCTTATGAAGATGTAAATTTTGCTGCTGATGCTTTGCTGAAGATTTTTAGATAATCACTTACTTTCTGCACCCTAGACTGACTTACCTTGCTACATGTCACCAAAATACATTTTATACTGGTCAGAACTATGATATTTAGATTGCCACATGATGCTGACTGCAAAGCTGTTTTGATTGCTCTAGAAAGATGTGATTCAGTAACTTCAGTTTTATTTGTCCAACAATATAAATGTAAGAAATTGTATTAGTATATAATACAATAATATAATGTTTAATATAATAAGAATAATAGAAGTTAGAATGTTTCTATTGAAAGAAATTATGGCAGAGCAGAGTATTTTTAGACTCTCCAAGTTCAATTTTGAGTCCTGAAAGTTGACCAGTAAAGTATCATGGATAGCAGCCTCATCATACGTAAGATATATGTGTAAATCTTTAGTAAATTATGAAATTAAAAATGAACTCAATTCAACTCATTCTAAAAAATCTCTGCTTTTCCACTATGCTGTTGACTTAAGTGTTGTGGACTGTGGCAAGATTGTTGACCTTAATGATAGATGAATTATTACAATCTCCACTATGCTGTTGACTTAAGTGTTGTGGACTGTGGCAAGATTGTTGACCTTAATGATAGATGATTTATTACATTCGTCTCAAATTTTATAGTTGATAGAACATTTTGTTAATTTTAAATATTGCAGATTTATGTATAGGGAGGAGCAACACTTAATATTAGTTCTTTTCCTTAATTCTATTCACTCTTAACATTGGATAAATTGCATAGAAAATTTTACGAGGGATAGTTTTATGGTAATTTTTAGAATCACTGGTGCTATGTGCCATTGTAAATGATTCAGATTTTAGATATTTGAAATCATTGCTACAAGAGAGAGAGATTTTAGATGTCCTTTTTTTAGTCCTATGAGTAGACCAGTAATGAAATTAGTAGACCAGCAGGATGGAATTCTAGGGTAGTTCATAAATTTGCTTTCATTTTTGGGTGGATATATTTCCCTCTCCAGCTGTGATTGGTTGAGATGTCATCCTTTATACTTATAGACTGTGATTGGTTGTGGGATCATGATGTCTTTCATGATGCCTTTCTAATATGCTATGTGTTTTTGGTCATTCAAAAACTCTCTAGAATTCCACACTGTAAGACCAGTAATGAAAAGAATAATGAAATTAAAATATAATAAAAATTTGAATCTTTGTTATTTGTCTTCTTTTCAGTCTGTCCTGAGTCTCCTAAGACTGAGAAGAAAATTGCAACTAAAAATGAAGTACAGGCAAAGCTAGCTAATCTTCTATCAAATTTTACTGTTGAAGTAAGTCCATCAGATTTTTGTTGGATGTGTTTGTGTTGGATGCTTATATCATAAGCTCTTTCTTTAAAAGGTGGACATTTATAGTATAAGGTGGATAATCTTTCCATTCCAATTTGAGCTACTCAACTAGTCTTAATCGTCAGTGACAAGTTGATATACAAGGCCAAACTTACATATTGTCTTATAATGCAATGTATTGAAATTAGATTGTGCATTGTTTATCCTATTTTAATTAACTTTATAAACATTAACTTGCTTTGTTTGCTCTTAAATAAGATGTCCTATTCACCAGTTACAACCAGCTGCTAGATCTTCTAGCAATTTGAAGTTGGCAAGTGATGAGTTGCGTCAGCTACGAGTTCGAGCCCCTCTCACCAAACCTCAACAGAAACTCAAAGAGGAATTTGAAGCTGTTGGTATGTTCATGATGCATGTGGCAATTTTCTAGCTTGATGGAAAGTAGAGAAACTACCAGCAACCATCACCAATAAAATGCAAGTCTGTATTTGCCTACACAGGTTATTTAAAAATTGGAATTTGGGTGCAAAATAGAGCATAATTTTCTAAATGCTAGAGAACCTGCTGCTACGATTTTGACAATTACTACAATCTTTTAATGAATGAGCTGCTTTGTGACTTAATTTTATCTTTGTCAAACTGTTAGTCTGTTACATTTACAAATACGCAATGTTTTAATCATATTTAGTTTGGGTACCATGGCACCTATGCAATCTGACAAGGGTTAATGCTGTATCACGACCTGAACCTTGATTACATCAACAATGCTTGCCTTATGTACGGTACTGAACAGATCCACAAAGTTTGTAAATCAAGGAATAATCACACCAACTATATATTTTATAAGCTTGGTTTCAGAATTACATGATGAATTTTGGTTTGAATTTTTTTCAGATTTTTTTTCTTCTCACATCCATTTTGTTTCTTATACTGGGGAACCATGTTCATTGTGCTAATCTAGTGCCCACTAAGTTTGTCAGTTTTTGTAGATTTTTTTGTAGTTTACTTTGTTGTGATTTTAGCTATGGAAGACAGACTCAGAATTTCCCTGTGATTTGTACAACTTAACACTAGAAATTGTTGCTTATAAAATTATTTGACCAATTCATGTCCTCATGTCATGTTTGTGTTAAAAATTCGTTCTCTTTGTTAAAAAAAAATTTGATTTGGTAAAGCCAACTAATATATGTACAAATGCTTGAAACTAATGGATGATTAGCAGCACATATTAATGTTGCTGCAGATAAAGATGCCTTGATGTAATAAATTTATCTTTGCACCAGGATAGTGTGCTATTTCCGGATCAAAATTAAAAAAGGCAGGGGGAAATTTCACTATAATTTTCTTATCTAAAAAGAAATTCTAAATTTGATGAACAAGTAACATCAAGAAAGTAATTTAAATTGTGATTAACAGACAACATAAAAAATTATTGTTGCAGGACCCAAGATGGCTGAAGCCATACGGTCAGTGGCAGAAAAGGTTGGAGGGGAGGAGACAGAGTCGGAGCTGCTAGACAGCTTGAAGCGTGTCACGGCTAAGCCTTCCCCACCCTCTCCAGAGGCTGTCCTTGGTCTGAGGTAACTTGACTGAATAAGATTATTTAAAATGAGCTTTGCAAGTGATCCATTAAGCTCTGTATATACGTAGTGATAAGATAAGTTAAAAGCCTCGCTAATGGTCCATTGACCCCTGTATGTATGTGTTTAAAAAATTAAAAAGAATGAGAATGAGCCTTGCAAATGATCCATTGATCTCTGTAGGTATTGGTAGGAGTTTTATAAAAGTTAAGGAAATTATCTTTACACCTAAAAGTTTTGAAATTGTGTTTGACATTGTGTATTAACAAAATTTTGGAGATCTTAAATGGATTGAAGTTAGAACTGTTGGAAAAATTATTTAGAGTTGGATTAATCTTAGGAAATAAATATTTATAGAATGGATAGCTTTTAACTATGAAGTTAGAGATTTCACTTGTGTTGGATGTACTTTGAATGCAAATGTATTTTTTTAATTTCCATTTAATTTGTTTTGTTCACCATTAGTCTCTATTGCATCTCAGCTCTGCATTTAACTCCCTAGTCTTGTAATATACCATAGTTCCAAGCATAAGCAATAAATAATCCAAGCATATTTTAGGCTAGAATAATTTCCTTGTATTTTTAGGTTTAATTGATTTGTTTCTTTCAGATCGGTCCTCTCAGGCTTGTCTGTCGAGAAGAGAGTTAGTCGTCACACCAGAACCAAGAGGTTTAACGAGTGAGTAGCACCTGTGTGTGCTTTTGTTCACCCATGGTAAATATATATTTCTTAATTCAAACTTATTTTCTAGCAGATTTGCTATGTTCCTTGTCTTCATGTTCGTTTCAATGGCAGAAGGATCGCTATTTACAGTTTTAATGAGATTTGATTACCGTCAAACTTGAGTTAGAAATTCAAGATAGTTGCATGCAAGTCTGATAGTTTGCTGAGCGCTTGTTACAGATGCTTCTACCTAACGAAATAAAGATGCAGCTGTCAGTTACTTCACTCTGTTGACTATTATACTGCGCATCAAATGGACTGAAGTGCTGCCAATGAAATTATGTCTGTGTGTCCGCATACCCTTGGTAATTGATTTAAACGGAGTTGTGACCAAATTATACATTTTGATGCTTGATATATCCATCTCGCACGTGATGTCAGAGGCTGTGCGAATGTATGCACGTGAGATTCAAATACGGCCGAGTGATACGGATAAAAAGTTCAGAAGAACTGAGATGGCGCTGATTACATTGATCCTTGATTGCCTATTACCATTGATTGCATATTTCCATTGATTGCATATTACCATTGATTGCATATTACCATATCCATACATTACTGTATTAATAACCACCTGGCTGTTATGAACACGCTTTGTTCTTATTGGAATATGTGCAAAAGATCAGAGAAAGTTTGTTATAGTTATCAGAACTCGTGGGAAGCTTGAAGGAATGTGGTAAGGAGGTTGGCAGTCATTCAAAGCGACCCAGGATAACTGGAGCTTTGTACACTTCATTGGAGTGTACGAGCGATCCCGTCCGGACTATTTGGAGAAAACAAATTTGGATGAAGACAACTAGGCTTCTATTCTAAGATTAATTATCTTGCAGGTCACTCGCCACAACGGATCTGCACAGCGCAGAACCTCTGAAAATTTTTTCTCCTGCGGACATGTCACAAGAGCCTGAGACTGCGGCGCCGCTGCTGCCCACGTGGGAGGCGCAGGTGGCGAGGGAACTCAAGCTCTGCATTGCCAGGCCTCCTGACTCCCACTTTCAGGAGCTCATGCAGTGGACGGAACAGGGCAAGATATGGCAATTCCCAGTCAACAATGAGTTCGGTTAGTACTTAGTAGACATTTCACTTAGATATTCATACTATTGACAAGTCTGATAAGAGAACCTCTGGCATTTTAGACTGCATTGCATTGTTTCCGGTTAAATTGAAATTCTGTGAATGGTTTACTATTTGTACTCACTGCCTATTTACTTTGATGAATTCTAGAAATATTTCCTATTTCATTCCCGAACTTTCATCTCAACGGGTACTATTTTTCTCGTGATTCTTACGTGATTGTGGATCCATTTTCTGCAAGTAATAATTTATTCCTACTATTGTAATTTTGAAGAAATGTACCTAGATCTTCAAATGCTGTTGTCGAAGTCTTGATACTCATTCGCCGTTTCATTAAGCGATAATAATAAGACTGAAACGCTATTCTGAAGTCTGTATTAATTAATATTCAGAGAGCTGACTGGTTTTATGTCAGATTATATTGTCGGTACAAATAAAATTGTCAATTCTGTCATAGAAATCAGTGTACCATTATCATTTCTCAGGCATGGAGGCAGAAGAAGGCAGAACTGGGTTCCAGGATCACATATTCCTGGAGCGCCACCTGTCCCCATGGTGCCCCAAGAAGGGTCCTATTGCGCATTTCATGGAGCTCGTGTGCGTAGGGCTCAGCATGAACCCATACGTCTCGGCCCAACGCAAGAAGGAAACCATTCTATGGTACAGGGATTACTTTGCTTCCAAGGAGAAACTGCTTACGGAAATTGGCGCGATCCCTGCCGACCATTCAATGAGTAAAGAAGCAAATGCTTGAAGTTTGAAGAGATTCTCGTCAATCTATCATTCTCGTAACCCAGTTTCGAGTTGTAATATTTCATGTATAAGCTGTGCATTACACATGTTGTTTAATACTCGCCCGGGATTTGGTACTGACTAGAGACTACTTGAAAGCTTCTAAGTCTACTTAAAAACTCAAGGAACAATGCCGAACACTAAAATCCATGTCAAGTTTATTTAAAAATCGTTTATAAATTAGAATATTACTACACCGCCACTCGTGTACCAATGATGAAAATTGACAAAGCACTGCACTCCCAGATCAGATTAGGTAAATTCAATTTTTACAATCATTTACCATAAAAGTTCAAAATAGACAATATAATGAGATAGAAATTCGATCATTCAAAAAAAGACAACTGTACAGAAGCATACTTACGCATTTGTTAAAGCATATTTGAAGATCTCATTCAAAAAAATCAAAGAAGCTACAGATTAAATGACGGTTCTAAAAATTCAAGATACAGCGAAATTTGTAATCTAAAGCTCTTTAGGTTTCTGGAAGGGATTATACAAACAAATGTCTTCAGTAGGAAATCATTTCTATACGGCGCTATTACCCAATCTAATATTAATAACAGTCTGAAATAATCCCCTCCATGAACAAAAGCAGTTGCAATGAAAATACACTCTTGTCTTCCTCGCAACATTTAGACTACGTGCGCGAAAACGAAACCAACCCCTGGTGGGCTACTTAGTGCATCTTTACGGAAGAACCACAACGGACAAGTGTAAAACAAAACCACTTTGCGGTTCTAAGCACCGTTCCCATTTAAAATTATCTTACGGCCACGTAAAATAAGAATTCATTTTCACTGAAGATTATACCATCGAAAACACCGCGATTATACAGCTACACAAATATAATCTAAGCCAATCACACACTTGATGGACTCAAAGCAAAGATTGGCATACTAGTTTATACCGCGTTTAGATTCAATCAGCTTCCAAAATTTACCGTGATTGACATCACAACTGAATCAGTCACACGAGTAAAATGTTCATGCTTCTCTTCAAATTTCATGAAAATTCCCTAGCAATACTACGAGGCAAAAATTTAAATACTGGAGAGTGAAAATCATTAACCTAGTTGTGGTAGCTGGATTTGATTCAGAACCTAGCTAGTCACCAAATCGTTTCTTGATCACAAGTAATAGATCAATGACGACATGGAATTATAGAAAAAAATTCGAACGGCTGAAAAAGGTTCAGATAAAATACAAATATTACGTATTGAAGAAAAAACAGGTTTGTCAAAAGCATTTTACAATGATAATAATAAATCCTTGGAATTAAAATATTTTCGCCGTATTACGAGAGGCAAACAGATTTCGTCATGAGATCGTATAAAACACCTTCGATAGTTGCATGAATTTATATGGAGTCGTTTTTGCCCATCGATTCTTAGAAAAAAAAATTTGGCTTTACTATCATGAACATAATACTAATATCGCTAGATCATTTGATTTATACTGAAGAATTTCCTAAGAATTGCTCACTCGCCTATGAGAGACTGAGAAGTTGTCAGCTTCTGAGGTTGATGATTCCAAGTGCTAGTGATCAGAATAAATGTAGCAATGAGGTTGACTGACGATAAAGTAGGTAAACTAGCAAAAAAAAAAACACAAGAAAGGCTGGAAAGTGACCAAGAAAAGTTTGCACAACGCCGATCAGAAGTGAACAAGGAAGTTTGCTCAACTCTGGATAGAATTGACTGAGGAAAGATTGCTCAGCACTGATGACAATAATAAGTGACCAAGGAAAGTTTGCACATCGCTGATAAAAAGTGGTCTAGAAAAGTTTGCACAACGCTGATAAGTGACCACGGAAAGCTAGATCAAAGCCAACACAATATTAGAGAGGAAGCTTGGTTTACCATTAACACTTGTCAATTTTATCATGTCAGACCACCAACAATGTTGTTAGAAACCTTTGAAACATTTCAATCACGTGTTTCTCAACGAGGTTGCAAAGTTGAGGTTTGAAAAGCTGCTAAGTACTTTCAAAATAAGCATTTAGTCGAAAAAAAATACAGCATCAACAGCAATCGTTTATCACTTTGCCGTTTAACACTAATGATACTTTAGATAGGTATCAAGACGCAACAACCAATGTTGTAGATGATGGCGCTGTTCGATTGCTGCAGTAGCAACCGATAAGCAACTAAATTGCTGCTTATAGCAAAGATTGCTGCTTATCAGTTGCTACACCAGTTGTAATTGCGACAAGAAACCTGCTGTTGTTGGTGAACATGACTGCAAAAGGTACACCAACAGAAGGCATTTATTCAATGAGTTTTTTGGCTTTGAAGAACTTGCGCAGATAGAGCACCTGCCATGTCGCCAGTCCCACGAGACAGCACAGGGAGAAGAGTGAAAAGTACAGCACTCGAGAATTTGTTGACTCTGAAAAAAATTGAATATTATATAGTAGGTCACCGGTAAAGTTGCACAAAAAGTGGAGCTTTTTGTCAAATGAAAATTAGACTTGCCTTCGTGAACCTTGACGCTGTAGTTTTACCTTCCGTTATTTCAATGAAAACGACAATAATATGCAACAGAACTGAATCTCCATGTTCTCAAGAGGTAAAGAAGTGGTTTGAATGTTATCGCAACATTAGTTTCCAGCTTTCTTTAATAGGTACGTTTTAACTGCATCGCGGAAACTTGAATATGGCGACGACCCGATTATGATTGACTGTAATCCTTTAATAATTTGATGATAGTTCATAGTGAAGTCTAATACTAGTCAACAAATTAATCCATCATAACAGCATTGAAAAAATGAGCTCATACAAAATTTTTATACTAATTACAACGATTGCAACATTTTCCAATTTTTGGTTTACATAACTTGTGAGTTGGTGTGGTAGTGAGATCACGAATATACGAGGTTAATTTTAGTGTGCTAAAAGATGTGCATGGTGGATACCATGTTAGTGATCCAATGATTATGATATTCTAATCTACAAATTTATAAATAATATCATATTTGATGGTAGCTCACAGCGATGTCCAAAGTGTGTCCAAAAATCAATGCACGGCACAAGCGTACATAGCTATAAAAAATATAACTCAGTACTCACTGCAGTGAGTGACAGAGAGCGCATTTTCTCGTCGACGAAAACTTGAGATCACGGACGGACAGACAGACAGACGGACATGGCGAGCACAATAGTGCATTTTTCCATAAATGAGAAAATGCGCTAAAAATGTATATATGTATTTATTTAACTTCATATGCTAATATATGACAGTTAGTAACCTGTAATTATACACTAGTAATTGATTAAACTTCATAGCACTGCCTGGTGCAATTCTACAAACCAACCCATGATACGGGCATAACACCTATTAAAACATGGAATTCGTATTATTTCTAATGTTAATATATTGCCGTTAGTAACATAAAACACGTGTAATAAATAATACTTCACAGCAACTTTAGGTGCAATGAATATATGAAGTATTATCAATTACTCGTCAATCCATGATACGGACATACATACCTTAAAAAAATATAACTCAGCACTCACTGCAGTGAGTGACAGAGAGCGCATTTTCGTCGACGAAAACTTGAGGTCACGGACAGACAGACAGACAGACGGACGGACGGACATGGCGAGCACAATAGTGCATTTTTTTCCATAAATGAGAAAATGAGCTAAAAAGATTTCGTTAACGTCTTAGGTATTGCAGTTAGTGTCATAATACCCGAGTTAATTGATGTTAGCACCAGACTAACCGTTTGTGTCCCTCATCTCTTCTTCGCGTTGTCGCATGTACACGAAGTCCTTGACGATGCTCTCGCTCAGATCTTCCAGCCTCTTCAGCTCAATCTCCAACGGCTTCAACTTTGCTGCCTCGCCCAACTGAAAAACATTTTAATATCAAGATTAAAAGTGAACAATAAAAAGCAATAAACTTATTGATAATCACCCAACTGTTAACATTTGTATTTTGTACTCTCAAGCTTAAAAGTGAACAATAAAAAGCAATAAAATTTTTGTTAATTACAGAACTGTAAACATTTGTACTCTCAAGCTTAGAAGTGAACAATAAAAAGCAATTAGCTTATTGATAATCACACAACTGTGAACAGTTTCACTAAAGTCTAAAAATAACAATTAAAAGCAACAAAGGTATCGATAAACAAACTTCAATCAGGATTATATTAATTTAAATAGATGAATTGGTCAAGATAGGAAAATTTCTGCCTACATTCTTCTCATCCTATTTGAAATTGAAAATGATTTCAAACACTGAAGACTAAGCATTTGCCTAACTTTGAGACTACCTTATGATAGTAGAAAGTTTTATCTGATAATAGGAGGTTCTGAGAAGTTGTACAACTTGGTAATACATTTTCTCAGTTTGATTTTAACATTACTGCTACTAAGAGAATATATTTTAGAGCCATAATGAAGATAATTGCAAGGCAACACATTGCTTCACGTAATGCTTTTGCTTGGACTTGATTGTTGCAGAAAAAAATGAGATAAATTCAAAATTATCATTTATGTCTAAAAAGTTTTTGTATAATATCAGTTCAGAAAACAGTACCTAACTTTAGTGCAACATAATGAAATTTGCTTCATTGACTCAGATTTTATTAGAAACGAAAGCTGTAATGACAAAAAGAAGTGTTGTTCACACGGTGAAAATCAATCAACATCACATAATTAAAGTAACTAACTCATGTAAGAATTTATGTAACTTTCAGCATAGCAAAATTAAATATACATAACAAACACAAACATCATAAATGCCAGTATCAGGCATCATGGTTTTAATGAATCACTTAAAGTGTTGAAAAATTATACATCAGATAATTAAAAACATCCACCCTCAAACACCAAGTTAGTGAAAGATACATTTTTCCAAATGACCGATCTCCAATAATGCATCTCTAATAGTCAGTAACCACCATAACCACTTATAACGCTGGGTACAAGGGTTAGGCAGGTGGGGTTAGAGGAGGAATGTTAGCACAACTGTGATAGCAGTTCACACTTACGTATCTCTGCACCAAACAGGATACCCCAGAAAAAAAGAGACACCATGAGTGTAGAGAATAAGAAATTTACATACTATAGTAAATACGTAAGGGAAATTTTTATATTGGTAGAAAATTTACATGAAAATTTAGTGGTGAAACTCAATCAGAGTTCGAGAAAAAATATAAATATTCATGTTTTCATTTTCCCAGAGAATAAAATTACAACGATGTCAACTGTGAAGAGTTCAATGTATTATTGGTATAAATTTTGCTTCAGATCACTTCACATTTTTCATCTATGTATAAAAAATGCAAGAAAATTGCCCTATATCAAGTAAGGAAGGAACCTGCTACTTGCTCATCATGAATGGAGCTCATAATAACAAACAAGGGAATAATTGATGGTTTAATGGCAGTAAAATAGACAATTTATCAACAAATGAAAATTAAATTTTGTATAGCCTACAGAGCATAAATCCCTCATATACATTCTATCTATTTACCCATTCACAGATCATGGATCTGTAGAGGAGATCAGGTCAGTCTACACATCCACTGAGAAGGTTACACCAAGTGATTTACTTGACACTTAATTTCTAACAAAGGGTAACAAATTGAAATTTCATTTCATTTGTTTTGATCTAAAAATCTTTTCATATCTCTCTAAAAAAGATCATATAAGTATGTGTATATACCGATGAGGTTACAGCATGACATGCACTCAACTAACCGCCTCATAGGACTTGGCTTCTACTCCATGTTTGGTGTTCAGTGTCACCTCCTGCACAACGCCCCTGTGACCTGCAATGGAGTTGATAAGATAATACAATATATAGATAATAATAAGGCATAAAAACTGATATTCAAGTCATCATTGTTAGAGGGAGCAGAGAAAAACCATCCAATGCCAGAGATGATGAAATAGAATTAACTTACTCCTATGAAGGCACTTACACACAAGTGGTTATAAGTGTGTACGAGTAATTTCAGGAATGAACTGTGCTACTG